TTGCCATTCCGCACTTTGTAATAATAAAAATAATAATAATAATAATAATAATAATATACTCACTTACTTAAAGCTAAAGATCCTTGAGCACCCTAAATAACTTATAAGAGAGGTTGGTTCCCCCCCCCCCCCCCCCCCCCAATCCTTTTCCGAGCGCCCCTTCGATGCCTTTGATCCAGTAATACTATCAAGATTCTGCCATTTAACCAGTGCTCTTCAATATGTATACAGACAGGATTTCAGAACCGGAAGCACCAGGGGTTGGAAGAATATAGACTTCTGCAGATGATGTTTTTGCATATAGGCAGGGGAGTGATATGCAACAGATGGCCAAAAACCTATAGGCAACTGTAGATTAAATGGCTATCTGGCGGGTCTTTCATGGTGCTCTCTTGACAATAGAATTGTAAGAGCTGACGTCCTAAGCCTCATAATTATTGACAGAAAGATCAAAAGAGAAAGCAAATTGGGTACCTAATATCGCTTTCGATAGAAGTCTCTCCTTCGTTGATCATATGGTGCCAACTGCGGCGAAATGCCACAAAGTATTTAATCTACTTAAGATTATGGCACATAGAACAAAGAATGCTGCTCCCAATGTTCTTAACATGTGATCTTCTCGGTGATCGATTATGGGCTTGGAATGCTTACCATATCAAAGATTCAGCTAATGAAACTTTAACGCATACAGAATGAAGACATTTGAATGATTCTGGAATGTACAAGAGATACCCACTAGTGTGTATGCGATATATACTTGCCCTGCCGACTGTTATAGATAGGCTTAAAATACTGCAAGCAAAGTCATATCTCAGAGTAGCCGCAGACACGAAGCGCCTCCTGCACCTTCAGGGCATGTGATTATCGATACAGGTGGCTCTGTGCGGAGAAGCAGACGAAATTCATGAGGTTTTCAGCTAAAAAAAAAATAGACGTCACTTAGTGCAACAAAGCCTGGTATACGATACCACAACGTCTAGTTTCAGAATGGAGATGGAGGCAGTCATGCCTCGTATGGCGTTGTGTTGTGAAACGAACAGGCAGATAGACTGGCCGCGTTCTGTATCACTTTGTGGTATACTCATGAATGACAAACAGATGTTGTAAGGGTCCTTTGGGAGCCAGTGAACAGTGCGGAGGTAGAAATATATCGCTGCGGTCTGAGTAGAACGGTGCTGCGAGCAGCGAAGAGGTTATCTGGCCGACGATCAATACTCAAAGGAAAAGGCGAGGCGGATATAAAATCAGACATTTACTGGTACTATCATAATTGGAACTCTGCGAAGGCTGCCTTAAGATGGGGACGGATCGCTTACGGGAATATCCTGAGTGCTGTGGTGTCGATTCTTGATTCAACACTTAACATTCAGTGATCAGTAAATATCAATAATGATCGACACAGAGAGAGGACACTTGGTCGTGGTAGTCAATAGAGACAACATTTGACGGAATACACATGACTGGCTATAGGCACAAATATTACATATTGTCAACGGAAATAGTTCACAATGAAAGCATTCTGCTTGGATACGTACCTGCTTTTATGCACGCCGTGGAAGTCTGGGTCGAACTGTTTGGGCTCTCCTGAAAACATACGATAAAAATAGGGTATGTAGAGAAACAATGAGATTTTAATGTAAATATTAAAGAAATCGTTAGGTATTATAATGGACGCTGGCGCACGAGAGAGAGATTGAGAGAGAGAGAGAGAGAGAGAGAGAGAATTCATGTACATATACAGAGGGATGGGGGGAGGGGCTGATCTATAGCTATATAAACATCCATAAAGACACATGCACATATAACAAATTCGGCCTTTGGACGGATGGATGGAGGGATGGATGAATGAATAGATGAATCGATGGATGGATGGATCAAATGGTGGATTGGATGGGCGAATGGATAGAAGGATGGGCGAACGAATGGACGAATAGAATAGATAGACAAAGAGTCAGATAGACAAATTCAGTTGCATAAATCAGTTTCAAATATGGTACAGCTATATATCCTACACAGACAGAACAGAGACACCGCTTGGGAGTAACTTATCAGACTGGTCCGTAAAGCGCGGGTCAGCAAGGGCATACACAGAACAAACGATAGGGGGAAACAATAAGGCAGGTCAGTAGTGTTTACCAGACAACTACGCCAAGCATGACCATGAAGAGAGACCGTTGCACACAAAGCACTAGCATGGATCTCTACTGTCTGAGAGACAAGGAACCAACAGTCTGCGTACAAATACGCCAGATCTGTAGAACGGATAGCACGCAAAATTAAAGTTCTGGGACATGACTCAAGTAGGCGAACAACCAACACTTTCCGCCAGAGTTTACAGCCGGTTAACTTGAAAAGAAGAAGCAGAAAGAACACAGGCGGTACATTACTGACTACAGCAACAACAACAAGAAAAGCAAACCTCAGTACCATATTTGCTGCTTGCACTGCTTGTTGCTGCAGCACTCTCATTGTTGATGTCCGCACCACCGCAGCAAGACATTTCAACTGTCTCAACCTTCCTTCCCAAACCTGTCTTCCGTTTGTGTTCCCAGTTCTACCGATTCTCGCACTAGTTATGGTATTATTTTTATTTTCTCGAGACAAACGATTTTCGTTGCTTCACTTTGTGGGAATGAAAAATTGTCTGATTTTGATGTATCTCTAATTTCGTATATTTTATTCATGACTGCCTTGTGCTTCATCATTGACCAGCTGAACATTGGTCCACAAAGATAAGCATTCAAATGAAGTCATTCTGGAGGTCTCAAATCGCTTTCAATTACTGCAAAAAACACGTTAACGACCACTAGCTTCGTTTAGACATTGCTTTGAAAAAAATTAGTGAAGAATATTAATTTTATTTCCCGAATTTTAAAAATATATCTTTAATCTTTGGCACATGGTTGTAAATCTTGGACAATTAATCAACAATTCAAAAATTTTATTGACAACTTTAAAGTGTGTTTAGCAGACGAATGACTAAAATAAAGTGGAGATTAACAATTAATGGACTAAATGTTACCCCGCCAGTTGTTAGTGACGGTTTCAACTTCACTTCAGACGCGGTCGACTCATAACTGCTTCGTTCACGTGCTAATAGAAATCACACATTGTTGTCCTTTTTTTTTGTGTGTCTATATGAAGACCATGCAACTCCCAGGAAAATCTCGAAGCTCGCACACGCAAATTGAATGCATAAGGCTGACATCGGAATGACCTACACCAACTTCCTACAACAAAATTGCAACTTAAAATAGTAAGCAAACCATTACGAAAGTCTTCATTGTACACGAAACACGACATAAGTAACATGCCTCTCCAAAAAGCCACACGCCATTTTAGTAAAAGTACAGGAACCTTTTCCGTGCTTTCAGGCGAATAGGCATATAGAGCTAGCTAGATCTATATTTTATAGGCCATACGGCACTGGGTGGGGGATGTAGTCAACATTCCGCTGGCCGACTTTACTTCACAGGACTGTACCTGGTACCCACTCGTGTGCTAGAGGTCCTGGGTCTGGCCCCGGTGAGGGCTCGGATTTTTACACGTGGACTTTAAGTAATTTCCTCCGGTCACTGGGTAGTGAGATCGGACGCCCGTGTGTATTGTTGCGCACGTAAAAAATCCCTTGGCGGTTGGAAATCGAAAAGAGTAGCCTAACGACGCTGCCCGGAAACAATTAGAGTATTTTTAAAAAAAAAAGTATTTCAGGATCCTCGCCGCTGATACAGAGCCTGTACACTGTGCTGAGCTTCTTCGGACTCAGACTTGAGTTAGAAGAAGAACTGAGCACTTATGGGTTACTACCCGTGTGCCATAATGTTGACCCGTTGATCAAACCTCAAACCTCAATTATGGAACACCTGCGCAAGCTATGGACAGTTGGAGTTATCTGAATATCCCGAGGCTGTAGAATCAGGCATCCGTTTAATATCCACCAAGGCTCGCACAAATGTCTCTTCAAACACTGTCGCTGAAAGAAACAACAGGGTCTAGAGAAAAGTGAAACAAGAGAAAAAAAAGTAATGATTTGGCTGGGGTGTAGCGGCTAGACGCTGGCCTATGGATCTGAAAGGTTCGAATCCGGTCTGAGCCAGACCTTTTTTCCGCCTTTCTAAAATGACCTTAGCTCCCATGTCCATCAAGCTTAAATGGGAACTCGGTAAAGTCCTGAGAAGTTAAGGCGGCCGCCATGATGTTAAACAACTCGCTCATTGAGTGCCATTCAGACTATAAAATATAGATCTAGCAATAAATAAGCAATATGCCTGAAACAGTGTGGATGGGGGGGGGGTGTGGGGAGAGGGGAGTGTCCTTTATCCCCCCCCCACCTCTCCCACCCCCTTAGATTGGTATGAAATTATAAATAAACACTTCGTTGTAGCCAGTGGTCTGTTTGTTAAAGGTGTGATAATTAACTTCGTTGCACCCATTTTATCCCCTCTCTCTCTCTCTCTCTCTCTCTCTCTCTCTCTCTCTCTCTCTCTCTCTCTCTCTCTCTCTCTCTCTCTCTCTCTCACCCCCCCCCTCCCCCCTTCTTTCTTTCCCAAAGGGTAACTCCACACGCCTGTCAGTCCTAACTTAGCCACTAACTACATTTTCTGCCGACCATAAACAAAATGCTCCATTGTTGATTGTCTTATCTTCTGCAGCTACACAAGCCAAGTGGCAGTGTTGAGTTTCTGTTATATGTTTATTTATTTTGGTAGGCTCGCATCTTTTATTCTTGTTACATTTTATTATCCAATTTATTTTCTGAATATGTGTGCATTAACGTTCCATGTTCTACCCTCCTTTCTATCAACACCTAATTTTCTTTATTTATTTAACATGTTTTCTTCAATATCATAATATGTTCGTGGGAGTTTCATTTTATATTTTTTTGTCAGTTGCGCGCCTGGTAACATTAAAAAAGTTAAACCGAGTGCGTCATGGCACGCCCTGGAATGACCCACACCCTAAGAGTTTTGATAAAGACAGAATGATTACGAAAATATAAATGTTGTTTAAAACTATGTATATACACGGTTAAAGGACAAAACTGAATTTATAGAAACAATGTTTACGTTTGGTTTGTTTGAGTGCACATCAATAGGTGGCTCCTACGCAGAATGAATATGCTAACAATATATTTTTGCTAACCACTTTCGTTATTTACATCTCACTTGAAATTACAATTGCTGCAATCTCTGAAACCCTACAAGCACTGTTACTAACAACACACAATTTTTCTGCGAAAGCTCCGGTAGAGAACTACTCATTGTACAAAATTCTTAATTTCAAGACGGAATCATTCTATCTGGTTCTAGACAACACAAAATGAATTGCTGGGGAAAAGACCCGAGACCGCTCGGGTAATGTGTCAAGGAATCGATATGTCAACCGAGCCGTGTCGTGTCCTGTGTTCACCTGGTGGCAAGGGCGCTGTCACATAGCAATTATTGGGGTGTGAGGTGGGCCTCAGACCCCTTACAGTTTTATAGGGTGATGTAAGGGCTCAATTATTGCTTCAGTGTTAAATAATAATACAGATATATTATTATTAATATTATAATTAATATTATTATATCGAATGGCAAATAAAATAATATAAGATGTGAAATAATATCAAATGTATGAACTGTTAAATTGTCACCAATGTCTGTACTTACCACTGTTTAGGTCGGTATAGACAGTGGGTAGTGAGCCGGAGGATTTAGGGCCGCATGCCTAGGGCTGTCGCCACGGACTGTGCAAATCAGGATGCTTAATTTTACCCCCGAAAGAAAACTCCCATCGCCTTTCTGGTGGTCGAGCCAGGGTCTCCCGCATGACAGCCCGACGCTGTAACCGCTCGGCCAACCGCTAATAACTAAAGGTATGAACAATTACTTCAAAGGAGAACGCATATACTCGGTTAGTGGTGCTTTTTTGTCTCACTGCAAATTTTCGAAGACTCCTAAACATGTATCGGTTTGCCCGTAAATATGCCAGCTCTGTAGAACGGGGGTGTATGTAAAAAAGTCCTGGGCCAATACTCCAGTTTATGGTTTGGCTTATGCAATGGATCAACATCATGGCACAAGGGTAGTAACCTCTAAGTGCTCCGTTCTACTGCTAACTCAAGACTGAGTCCGAAGAATCTCAGCGCAGTGCACGAACCCCACAGCACCGGCTAGGAATCTGAAATATTTTAGGTACATTTTTAATTCCAAATTTTGACCGGGCAGCGCCGTTAGGCTACTCTTTTCAACAGCGAAGAGGTTTATTGTACGTTACCAACAATACACACAGGCGTCCGATCTCACTACCCAGAGACCGGGAGAAATTACTAGAAGTCCAAGTGACAAAATCCCAGCCTTCATTGGGGCTTGAACCCGGGACCTCCAGCACTCGAGGCGAATACCATGCCTCGAGACTGCTCAGCCCAGGCCAAGTCCAGAAGTGGGCGAACAACCAGAACTTTACCCTGAAGTTTACAGCTGGTAAACGCAAAGAAGACGCAGAACAAGGGCAGTAGAATATTAACAACAATCACAGCAAGAAAAGCAAACGTAAGTACATTTGCTACTTGACCTGCTATTTGGGGATTAAAAGTTTAATTAAGAATCGACACCACAACACTCGGGACACCACCATAAGCGTCCGTTATAATCTTCTTTCCTCTGAGTGTCAAGCATCGGCCTGATCCCCTTGTAACTCCTCGCAGTGTCATTCTTCTCAGACTGTAATGATCACTCTCTGTCTCGGAACTGTTCACTCGCTCTCCAAGGGCTCTCACAACATCCAGCTTGTCATAAATCAGTTCACCACCAAGTAGTGCAGAACCGGCCAATCTAACTGCATGATCATTTCCCAAAACACAAACATGCCTTGAGAAAATATACGAAGGATGCTAACTACCCGGTTCCTTTGAAGTGATGCTTGCCACTCTGCACAAAGCATGCCTGTCTTCATCTTTCTCAACTTCCTCTGTGAGTCAGTTACAATGACGGCATGTGTGTACAGCTGATTCTCAAGCCAGCGGAAGGCAGCAGTGACTGCCTCCACCCCCATTCCCAAGCCAGCGGAAGGCAGCATTGACTGCCTCCACCTCCATTCTCAAACTAGACGCTTGGGGATCAAAGTGCTTTATGAGCCACAGTGGTGTAGCAGCTAAATGCGCGCCTGCGGATCCGAAGGTTGTGGGTTCAAGTCCGCATGGGGCTGGCTATTTTTCCGTCACGAGCTTAACTCCCGGGTCGATCCAGCGTTTAATGGGTCCCGAATAAAGTCTGGGAAGTGAAGGCGACCGGCATGATGTAGACCACATCATCCACCGACTGGTCTGTAAAAACTATGAGTCTACCCTTATATGCCTGAAGCGTTATTGTTGTGTACAGGGACCTTTCATAAGGCGCTGGAACTCCCAGGTGGCAGCACCTCTGTCAGGTGGATTCATTGATCGCCATACTCGTGTCACCTGCATTGATTTCTGCCACCCGTTTCTACAACCGTGGTACGCGTGGCTATCGATACGGA